AACTCCTTGGAAAAAATTCTGTGATAAAAAATAGCATAATTTCTTTCAATGAAACGATGGTTGTTCTGCTGTTGGCCTATGAGCTCTCTTCATTTCTCCACTGACCTTGTGTCGGTGGGGTCACTTCTTCCTTACAGCAGCAATGCATCAAATCAAAATGATAGACTAACACAAAGCTTACGAACTATCTGATGGCAAAAAAACAGCAAAGTTATTTTCACATAGATCCCCCTTCTGCCTACCATGCTGCTGTAATTATCAGTTAAGCCTCTGAAAGCCCACGTTTGGGGAAAGCCAGATTGTTTACTATTCCAAACGAGTAAGATTTGAAAAGATATGACAATGCCTGATGGCGCACAAGCCGGCTGTTGCATTTTACATCAACTTTTTTCCAATATCTCTCAACTACACATTATCATAGTGTCACCGCTTCAACCGCTTCATACTGGGAGGTGACATGTGCCTTAAGGAAAAAGATCCAGCCTATATACGCTCAGAGAGGGAACATGAACAATGTCAAATAAATAATTCATGGCATGGTTATTGTTATTCGGGGTTGTGCAGACAATCGTAACGCTCGAGGAGGATATTTTAGCCAAAAAACGATCGATGGCCCAACGCTTAATCATTTTATGGGTCACAGCGGACAATCGTTCACAGTAATGGAGGAAGGACTAAAGCGTCACTAAAGTGTTATCTTACGTGGTCTTATTTGGTGTGAGTTACTAATGGAATGACTGGGGACAGTGGGGATGGAATACAGACTGCAGCTCAACGAAGGCAGAGAATCATCCTGATGGGTAAAATTGTAATCTTTAAATGCAAAACCAACACAGAGCTCTGTTTGAATAACTTTAAAAACAAACTGAAAAAAGTTGGAGATGTTGAAATGGGACTGAGGTCAATACAATCGAATTCTTACAAACGGTTCAGCAGTGACTCCAAACCATGCAACAAAGATTGAGGATAATTAATAATGAGACTCACTGCTTCTGCCAATCAGAAGGATCAATAAAAAAGAAATACATAAAAAAATGAATAAATAGATAAATAAAACAACAACAAGGACTTGTATGTGTTCTGTCTGTATGTCATTTCTTTAACTTGTTTTCTTTTGTCTTAACCTATTTACCATGCATCTCATCTGTGTATTTTGTTTTACTAATGCCTGGAAAGTTGTTTTTTTGTCAGTGTGTTTTGTTATGTTTTGTATGTCCATATTGTGAGTGTGTGTCTGGACTGTGTTGTCTGAAATATAAAAAAAAGATTAAAAAGAAACAAATAAGGATTCAGAATACTTTTTTTTGTAAGTCTATCAGATAGCTTTATAGAACCCAAAGAACGGAAACCTTATGGATATTTATCAGGAAATGATTGTTGCCACAGCTCCATACATTGGTAGTTTACACTTTTAAGAGTCACTGTGCAGTGGAGCAAAGAAATCAACTACTGTACCTTTAAGACTCCACCTAACTTGTTTTATTGCACTATAGAAAGTCTGCATGTTGTATATGACTTTGTGGTTCGGCAGCATCACAGCCACCAAGGTGGTCCCAACAGTGAGCTGTGAGCTGCCTGTTCTGGATTCTCTTTATGAATCCAGACTTTTAAAGTTTAGCTTCAAATGTTCAATGATCACCGTTGGAAGGCCATATTCTGGCTTCTTCCTTCTGGGGATGCAAACAGTTTCTTTCCACAAGCTTTTGTTGTCTACTGCGCACACTGAATAAATTGCAGCTAATATTACAATTTGCTTTTAAATGGTGAATAAAGTAGAGTCTATTGACTAAAATCTCTGAAGCGCTCTGATTTGCACCTCTATGTGAGGAGCTGCTGTCACCTCCAGAGCATGCAGAGGTTGAAGGAATGAGTTCTGATAGATCTGAGTATACCGAGCTGCCTTTCTCTGTGGCCTGCTGGCTGTAGGCGGTGTACGGACTGAAATTACTTCAATGACTGAATGAATGAATGAATAACAATGCACATTTGTTTAGTCGTTTCACAACAAAAACAAACAATTGCACAATTTTTTTAATTTTTCTACTACTTTACCTGTGATTTTTATACATTTATAGAATGTATAATGCTATAAATCATTCCATTATCTTACAACACACTGTACTATAAGTCTAGTTTTGCTATAGACTAGTTGAATAACTAGATAAACATGACAAGGAAAGATCAAGGCTGTGCCATAGAGCAGTCATCCTCCTGTGGACTCAGCACCTGCAGAGGATCAAGGAGGGGCTGGTGCTCTGTGGACTGGGTGCAGCTCTGTCTGCCACCCCCCCAACCCAAAAATGGATTAAGGGGAAGAAGATGGATGGATGGATGCTAGCACCTTCTTTGTTTATTTTGCTTCAATTAACTTCCATTTATCAAGTTTATTTTTGCAATTAGTTTGATCATCTAGTTAGCTACAGTCAGCTGATATTATAATAGATCCATGGGTCACACGGGCTACGTCACTACTGTCTCTGAGAGAGAAACTATCGGAGCTAGCCACACTCAATAAACGCAAATGACAATCAACACATTTAAATGTTAATCAGAGAATACATTATTGATCAGGATCAGAATCATTTTTATTGCCACGTAAGTAACAAGAGTCACCACTTGGAAATTGCTTTGGCAGAGCATGCCTGCCAATTCTTAACACGCGTGCACAGGTTTCCAGAATTATCTGTTCACGTTTTCATAACAAAAATACTTTTTTAATGTGGAAAAAGCGATCGCTAATGTTCACAATTCTTTGTTCACTTTTCATGTAGCTCCAGAGAGTTCTAGTTTTGAAGTAAGTTAGCTAGCCTCACTGTTACTCGCCTAACACAGGAAAACTTTTGGGAAGTCTGAGTCTGAGTTTGCAGTCATTAAATACATCTTTCGGCATTCATAAAAGTGGGCTGAAGTTTATTTTGTTTGTGTTCAGTTGGTACAAAGCTGTATAATAAGTGGACCCCGACGCGCTTCGCCCTGTCGGTACTTATTTTCCGAAAGTTGAAAAAAATCCCTTTATCTTTCTTCAGGTGTGAGAATTGTAAACTTTCTGGATTAGGACAAACAATACTAATATGGATTGATGGGGTAAATGGTATAAAGAGAAAGTTTGTGCTAATTACATTCAGAAGAGCTCAGACGGACCAGATACAGTACAGCGGTCCAGACGGTCCAGGTCCAGGTCCAGGTCCAGTCCCAGCTAAACGTAGCTAGGACTGGATCTGGAGGCTCCACAGTTGGTCCAGCTTCACAGACCAAGTGTTTTGAACAAATGTGTCCTTTTTTTTCTGCCAACCACAAGCAGGAACCCGCCTCCTGCACTGGTCGATGATGTGGTTTTACAAACGGGATGAATGTTACTGCTTTCATATAGTCCTTATCGGAGTATCTGGAGTTGCTCGGACAAGCACCATAACTGCAGTGTTTTGTTGTCACCATGATTCAATGATTTAGCCCAAATAAATACACACGCTTATGTGGAGAACACAGTAGAACTCAACGGAGTCGTACACAATGTTTGTCCAAAACACGCACACATGCGCAGTCATCACAGCTATTTTTAGCATATTCCGGAAACCCGACAGTGCCCTGTAGGCGGGGCCAAAAAAATGTGATTTGATAAAACATTTGTCCGTTATATTGAATGACGTGCTACTTCATGATGAGAGCAATGCTGGGAAAGCCAGAATATTTTTAATTGCCGTGTAAGTAACAGGAAGTCAAAAGTAGAGAATAGAAATAGACATAATCAAACAATTCTTAAGTATAACATTTTCTAAAAATTCTAACTTAAAATTATATAATTATTATAAGTGTACTCGGTGCACACAATATACATTAAGCAGTGCAGTAAGGTGACTTTATAAAGGGCAGGGGGACAAGTGAGGCACAGACCAAAACTAATGTTTGTTACAGGATGACAATGGGACATTTCAAAAAAGTCTGAAATACATAATATCAGCCAATGGCTGTCATTAAATCTGTTTGTTCACAGCATTTTACTGTTGGCACAACCAACATGAGCCGTTAATGCGAGGGAAAATGTACGTACCCCAGCTTTAATTTTACGAGTTTAGGAGGAGACACGGGAGACATGGAAACGTCAGGAGGCTCTATCATCCAGCTCTGTGTATTAGAGAGGTGTATAAAGACACGCACATAACAAGAAAAGAATGGTCCTATGTCCACGTGTATGGTCCTGTGCACGTGTATGGTCCTGTGCACGTGTATGGTCCTGTGCACGTGTATGGTCCTGTGCACGTGTATGGTCCTGTGCACGTGTGTGGTCCTGTGCACGTGTGTGGTCCTGTGCACGTGTATGGTCCTGTGCACGTGTATGGTCCTGTGCACGTGTATGGTCCTGTGCACGTGTGTGGTCCTGTGCACGTGTGTGGTCCTGTGCACGTGTATGGTCCTGTGCACGTGTATGGTCCTGTGCACGTGTATGGTCCTGTGCACGTGTGTGGTCCTGTGCACGTGTGTGGTCCTGTGCACGTGTATGGTCCTGTGCACGTGTATGGTCCTGTGCACGTGTGTGGTCCTGTGCACGTGTATGGTCCTGTGCACGTGTATGGTCCTGTGCACGTGTATGGTCCTGTGCACGTGTGTGGTCCTGTGCACGTGTATGGTCCTGTGCACGTGTATGGTCCTGTGCACGTGTGTGGTCCTGTGCACGTGTATGGTCCTGTGCACGTGTATGGTCCTGTGCACGTGTATGGTCCTGTGCACGTGTATGGTCCTGTGCACATGTATGGTCCTGTGCACGTGTATGGTCCTGTGCACGTGTATGGTCCTGTGCACGTGTATGGTCCTGTGCACATGTATGGTCCTGTGCACGTGTATGGTCCTGTGCACGTGTGTGGTCCTGTGCACGTGTGTGGTCCTGTGCACGTGTATGGTCCTGTGCACGTGTATGGTCCTGTGCACGTGTATGGTCCTGGGAACATATGACCACAGGCTGCGCGCTGCCGTTGACAGAGCGGCTCACAGCTCAGATACAACTGATGCACAAAGTGATGAGCCAACGTGTGCATTCCCGCACAGTCAAGACCCGCGATATAGACCCGCATAGAGCGTGCACAGCCGAGGAGCGTGCAGAGGAGAACGCACACCGCCATAGAGCGTGCACAGCCGAGGAGCGTGCAGAGGAGAACGCACACCGCCATAGAGCGTGCACAGCCGAGGAGCGTGCAGAGGAGAACGCACACCGCCATAGAGCGTGCACAGCCGAGGAGCGTGCAGAGGAGAACGCACACCGCCATAGAGCGTGCACAGCCGAGGAGCGTGCAGAGGAGAACGCACACCGCCATAGAGAGTGCACCGCCATAGAGCGTGCACCGCCATAGAGCGCGCTTCCTTACCAGCCTGTGAAATGGTTGGACCCTGTTCCACGAACAGGACCCTGGCGTAGGTCCCCGGGGAGTCCAGGTGCTGTAGGATGTGGTGGAGGGCCAGGTTAATGGCGTCGTCTACAGATCTGTTGGCTCTGTAGGCGAACTGCAGGGGGTCCAGGAGGGGGGAGGTGAGGGACTTGAGATGGGAGAGAACCAGGCGTTCAAATGACTTCATGACGACAGACGTAAGTGCTACAGGTCTGTAGTCATTGAGTCCTGTGATCCTGGGCTTCTTCGGGACGGGGACAATGATGGAGGATTTGAAGCAGGCCGGGACATGGCAGGACTGCAGAGAGGTGTTGAAAATGTCAGTGAAGAATGGGTTCAGCTCGTTTGCGCAGAGTCTCAGGGTGGCAGGTGAGACGCCGCCTGGACTGGGTGCTTTGCGCAGGTGCTTTGATTGTGGAAGAAAAAGCTTTGTTGCTTTGAAAGTGGAAGTGATTTGAACGTTGAGACTTGTGCGCAGCTCTTCTCCACACGTTGTTCCTGGGACACTATAGGCAGCGCTAATTTTGGCATTCCACAACACATGCACATTATACTAGCGAGGGCCCTTTTTAATTGGATAACAGTGGTTGAATTACAGCTGACCTCATTTAGATGACAGCAGATGCTAAATCACCAGCTGCAGAAGTGTGCTTATTTAGATGTCTCTGGAAACGTGCCTTATATGTTTGTGGTATAGGTGGTACTATAACAAGAGGAAAGCGCTAATGCTAAAGTATTTAAATGAGTAAAACACGATTACCTTTGGGAAGGGAAAAATAAGAACACAGTATGAAGCATTGATTCCTTGTCTTGGAACATCTCATCAATTCTTGTGTTGGTGGTTCATTTTAATTAGAAGAATATAACTTTCCACTTTTACCCCTAAATACTTTTCTCATGATACAAGTATGTCCATATTTTGTAATGCCTTTTTTAATAATAAAAAAGAGTTTCGTATTTTGGCAATTTTTCAGGTCAAATTACTCTCTTAACATTACGTGCTGGTTGTCTTTGCAGCATGATACGTTTTATTGTTGAAATAACATTAATTGCAACAGCCCCTCAGGTGGTAAAGGATCTCTGACATCTTTTTCATCCATTAGACATGTTTATCCTTGTGCTCATCCTTCTCCTAAAGAAATGATTTCATATTCTAAGACATAAAATGTTATTCTTTAAGATAGTAGAAACTTGAATGATAAATCTTTTAACAGAAATCACATTTAGTTACATGGTCGAAGCACATCATCACATATATACATGTTTTTGGAAAAATGCTTCCGAAAAGTTCTTTAAACTTATTGTTGGAATTGGTGGTTTTGTTTGCTGTTTGCTGGCTGTCATTGTCCAAGTACACAGGGACCCGGGAGGGAATCAATATATCGACTGAGGACTGGCTCTGTCATGGGACAAAAATACACTATTCCACATAAGTTTGTTGGAGTAAGTTAGTATTTTTAAAGTTGCTTAATAAAACCATGAAGTAGAAAGTTAAAGTTTGTATTTTTTGTATTTCTTTAGGTCTTCTTCAGCTGGTCAACACAGCAAGCAATTCTCCCTGAAGTCAATCAAAGTGCATTGAAAAATAATTGTACTATAATGGAAAACAATTTTATAAAAAATTTAGAAATTGCACAGTCAGAGACACTCACATCTGCATAACTCCCTGTGGACATTACTTATCATTGTAATTACCAACCGTAATTAAAGCTCAATACACAATACTCATTGTGATAATTTGTTCTAATGCAATACTTATTTAGAAAAAGATGCTCACACGCATGGATGTTTGACTCTGTCACATCTGGAGATGAAAAAGAGAACACTCCAACTCTAATAATAATAATGCTTTTATATAGAGCTTTATCGGACACTCAAAGTCTCTTCACTGCATTATCCTCTCTCTCCAAACTCTGTGGTGATAAACTACTGTAGCCACAGCTGCCCTGGGGCACACTGACAGAAGCGAGGCAACCAGTCTGTGCCATCGGTGTTTGTACTCCCAATAAGTTTATTCATGTTAAACTTTACCAGTACATTAGCACTTTTATTCTTTCCTCAATATAGATTATTATCCTTGTTGCAATTAGCAGGTCTAAATTTCACCTTTTTCCATTTGAGCCTCTCTATGTGGTCCGTTTTGCATTTGGGACACTAATTGGGTCATCTGCTCAGTTGAAGACATTGTCCACAGATTAAGCTGCTTCGACCTATCTGCCTAATGTCCTTTCCTATTAGAACACCTGCCAAAACGCACACAAAAAAATCACCAAATCCTCTTATTGTGATCTAATTATTCAACATCAGCACGCGATCATCTCCCTGTGGCCCGGCACAATCCCAATCTAATTGGATAAGAACTCCTGAAAGGGATATTTAAATGAAGCAGATGTGACGGAATTCTATTTTACATATCAAGCGAACAAGTCAAACGGCGTAGTCATCCGACAATAGTGACATCCAGTGCTAACGATCCCAAAGAGCAAAAGTAATTAGGATGATATCAGTTGGAGCCTAATGAGACGCTTGAAGAGTTAGCTCCCCATCTGCCATTTTGCCGGCGCTGGTCGCTGTAATCTTTGCCTGGACCCTGAGCCGTCTGGATGAAAAGAGAAGGGGCCAGTCCCATTCCCCTTGTAACCAAACTGCCATGTGCTGGATAGTGCAAAGATTAATCTGCCGGTGTCTTGGAATGCAGACTCTTATATAGAAGTGTGTGGTGGGAGACCTTGGAAAGCTTTTATGAGAAGAATAATGCAAGCATAAATATTATGACAGTTACTTTGTCTTCTTTGATACAATGTCGTCATATATATATATATATATATATATATATATATATATATATATATATATATATATATATATATATATATATATATATATTTTAGTGCTGTCCAACGATTAAAATATTTAATCGCGATTAATCGCATGAATTTCATAGTTAACTCGCGATTAATCGCAAATTAGTCACCCATTTGCGTGCTGTGTGCAATTGCTTTTTTATTGAAAACAATGTGTAGTGTTATATTACACACTAACATTTGATGCAAAATCATCAATAAATGGATGACAAAATAAATAATTGGTAACAAAAAGCCCCTTCAATGTGTGTGTGGAGTGTGTGTGTTTATGGGTGTGGGTGTGTGTGTGTATGTGTGGGTATAGACCATAGACTGTATAGAAACATCATGGTGTCATTATGATGATGATAAACAATTTTTTTGTAAATTTGTTCATGTAAATACTCTATGCTGTTTCTCTGTTTACTTTTTCGGTATATCTATGACTGTATACTGTTTGCTTGTATTGCCTTTTTTATTAGCCCCCCCCCCCCCCCCCCCCCCTATGTGCCCTTCTGGGTTTCTTCTTTGGCCCCCTGTATCTCCAACTACATATTGTTTGTAATCTCTGTCTACAATGTATCTTAACTAGTCCTTTTCTTTGTGTCTATTTTTTTCTGTATATGTGTTTGTCTGCAATAAAAAGTAAAAAAAAAAAAAAAAAAAATTTTTTTTTTTTAATAATTATTAAAAAAATTAATGGCGATAAAAAAAATGACGCCGTTAATATTGATTTGCGTTAACGCGTTAATAACGCGATATTTTGGACAGCACTAATATATATATATATATATATATACATATATAATTGGTCAGCCAGCCCACCTTTGAACGTTTAGTAGAAGTGTGGTTGACATGTGTGGTTGTGAACCTGATCAAAGAGTATTAGTACAAGCAGATTTCCTATGTATTTGGACCGAAATAGGCGTGGGTCATATTTTGACTGACGAGTGCCCGGCCGCACAGCTCGGGCAGAAGGTCAAAAACTTTTTCACCACAACACCACTCAAGTCATTTAAAGTAATGTTGCCAGAAATCTACTCTCAGTAAAAGGCCAGCATCATGGAATGTATAAGCTGATATGTGAGGACTTTCAAATCACTCTCTCATAAAGACTCAAGTGATACAAGTACTATGCCTCAGCATGCTCCATCCCAGTCCTGGATCTACAGACAGTTCATTTGGAGTGGATCCCTCTCCCATTCTGGGTCTCCCTGAGGTTTATTTTCTTCCACTTAGTATTTTAGTTTTGCCTGACGATGCAGGAGAGTCTAAAGATGGGGAAGATCATTTATGGACCAGTGAAACTCTTGGCTGTTTATTTGATGCATTACTTATGTATTCTGTTTGATTTTCTAACCGGCTGTTGGCCTTTGAGAGTCCAAAATAATTTGATTGGTCAAACATTTGTGTACTGTTTGCATCTAATTATTGAGCATTTGTATCTCCACCCACAGTTACAGCATGTACCTGTGTATACAGTCTGTGTATTGTTTGCTGTAGGTCATGGAGGTTTTCAGCAAAATCAACCAGATTTGCAAGTGATAAAGATTTCAAGACTGCAGTATGACTAATGCAGGAGCTGCTGATGCACTGAAGAGCCTGGAGAGCAGATGTTTGGTACACTTTTGACACACATTCATACACACCAGGCTAAACAAGGTCACTCAGATAAGTCTCCAATAGTCTCAAAATTACACAATCTTATTTTACTATTATTGAAAAATACTGCATGTAGAAGTGCAGAGTTATATACTGTACATATTCTATATTCTGAAGTTGCAGTATGAGCTGTATTGTATATATATATGTATTTATATATATATAATATTTAAGTAATATCCTTTCGAGGAGAAGACAAATATGGCCACTAGCGGCGCTTAAGTTGCCAATGGAGGGGGTGGACTGGCTGAGCGCTCTGGGACTGCGATAAGCCCTGGTGTCAATACTGAGACTGAGACATACACACTCTGCAAACATATACACGGCCTGTTGTTTGGGAGGAATGGAAACAGTAAGTTAGCAGTTAGTTATGAAGACGCAGTGGTGTGAGTTAAATTTGATAAAGTGTGCTTTTTGGAGTTATCTATTAGAAGAATACCATCGATAAATTGTTTTATT